AAAACCAGCTTCAACATTTACAGACAGAGACAGACAGACGGACGGACGGACAGACAGGCGATGTTATTTACCCCTGTGAAGGAGAACTTCTGCGCTGTTTGGGGGAGGGACTTCTCATTCTGTCGGTTTGATTGACAGGCCCTCGGAGCCCTCAGGACCACAGTGTCCGGCCCCTCGATGGTTACACACTCCTGAGAGAAAAATGAAAACATGCTGATGACAAACACGTCAGCAGCCTCTGCTTCAAACCCCGCCCACTCAATTCATTACCGTCAGTCACCCTCCTGTCAGCGGGACAATGATGGACATGGATCGGTCTCAGTGAGTGTGAAAATATCAGCATCTGCAAAAATATGTGAATCCCCAACACGGCGATGTGTGTGATCGGTTATTACCTGTGAAGCTTCACTGTCGCTCTCTGCTGCAGTAAAAGGTCGAACCCTCAGGTAGACCTGCAGGTTTTCTGACTGTGACTGAACCGAGTCCTGATGACACAGAGAACAGAGACCACTGAGACCCACCTTCACTTAAACACAGATAAACACACAGTTCAAGAGAAAAGCTCACAGACAGACGGATGTACCTGTGCTGGCAGAGCGATAAATTCACTGAGCAGATCCTTCCTGATGTCTTTCACCTCCACCGGCCCCACCCTCTCCGGTTTCCCGGCTAAACAAGACTCCATCATCTCTGCAAACACAGCAAAAACCCTCAACAGTCACGTAATAATAATAATAATAATAATAATAATAATAATAATAACAACTTTATTTTTATAGCACTTTTAAAAACAGAAGTTTACAAAGTGCTTTAACAAACAGTCGTAAAGAACATCAGGAACTAAAAACCAAAGCTCAGCTAAAAACCTCTGAATTGAAGGTCAGTTTCATTTGCCATAAGAAACCTAGAAAATACAAGAATGCTATAACATAAAATGAGACCAAAATAAAAACATAAATTAGGTATGAAGAAGAGATGTAATAAAAAAGGGGGTAGAAATCAGGAAACTGGATAGTAAATATAAAAAGAGGATATTAATAATCATAACAAAATAATAATGATGGTCACTGTAATGATATAATGGAATAACAAAAACGAGCAGGAAAAAAACAACAAAATCAATAGGAGGCGAAAAAGGTAAACTAAGAAAAGATTATAAATAAAACAAAAGCTAAAAAGACAATAAAGTCGAATTAAGGTAAAAGTGATTAAAGAGAGAACAGATTATGGTCACAGCTGTTATAATATCAGGTCAGTTATAGACACCTTAATTTATTCTAATCTGTGTTTTAATCCAGAATAAACTCGGTTTAATTCCTCAAACAGTGTAATGGTCGTTTCAGTCTTCAATAGAAATTCAGAATAATCTGAGGGTCAATGTTTCCAGACAAATAGATTTGATAAAGATTATATACATGCCGAATTTGCAGGGGAGGTCTGAACTCTTTGGTTATTATCTAGATATTGTCTGTAGATGATAACAGAAATTGAAGTAAACCAAAGAGTCTTAAATTAGATGATTTTTGACTGGAGTTCGTCTCCGCGGCTGTAAAAACTCGATGAAATCACCGTCAGATGTTTCTATCAGGTCAGACAAACAGAGAAGAAACCTTCACTTATTAAAAACCGACAAGATCCCATTAAAATATCAGCTGATTGAAAGTAAAATATCGTTTTAAAAGAATCAAATATTATCTTTGTTGTTAGCATTAGCCACAACATGCTAACCCCAAATACATGCAAGCATATACTCATTTTACTTAAACGGCCTTTGACAAAGAAAAGTCAAATAAAATCACAACAATCTAATGTGAATAGATATTATATCAACTTTCACTCACTTGGGCTGTTTTTTAATCACCAGGACGAACATTTAGATCACCAAACATCGAGAGAAAAACGAACTCGGAGGATTTTAGCTGTTCGTCCGTCTCCGCGGTCTACTTTTTAAACTGACACCCAACGACCAATCACAGGGCAACATTCAGAAACGTAAGGCAGATCTCGTAGTAAAATCTCGCGAGAGTTTCTGTAGCTCGATTAAAAAGGCACGGAAAGTTGTAGTCAGTGTGTTTTTGAAATATTGAGGTTTATATGTACATTCTTTAGTAATATCATACTAAAGTGAAATTATAAAGCCTAATTATTGATCAAATTGATGTCAGTGTATGAGGTAACGTCATCAGCCTGCGACAGTGTTGGCTTGTGTTGGCAGGATTGAGGCGGATTTGTGGATTAGAGCCTTAAAGTCAACAGCCAGCTGCTAATTAAACTCCCTTATTCGGACAAAATCTGACTTTAAACTCTTCTCAGCGTTTTTATTCGAGCTGCTCGGTGAGAGAAACGGCGATCAAAGGAGAAAGAGAGGAGGACGGGCCGCTGAGGGAGACGCAGTAACCCGGTTTCCTTGGCAACGGTGAGATAACGGCGATACAGACACGATAATTTACCTTTAATGAGAGCTGATTACTTATCTATTGAACATAACTTTGTTTTATAC